AAAAAAGTTTATCACCGTAGTTTCCAGCAAATTAGTCCATGTCTTGTCGATTTAGAACAAACGGTCCAGCGAGTCTTATAGCTGGGGGGAGCTGCTGCTCTGAGGGGAAACCAGGCCCAGCAGGAAGGCGGCTGAACATCAGTGCCCAGGTGTGCTTCCTGGGAGCTCCCTGAAACTTGACGAGCCAACTCTCCACAAGTAAGAGCGAGTTCTGTCTCCTATGGTAGGCAGTATTTCTCCAGTCCATGACTGCACGCAGCGTGAGGGGAGTGCCCTTCTTTCTAGCGCACATCCCTAGTCTCTCAACCCCATTTCAGCTGCTGTTGTGGAACCAACTACACGCGAGGCAAGAAGCAAGAGGAGTTGATTCCAGGTGTTTGGGGACTGGCCCAGGAAGGCGTGCGCTGGAGAGCCTTGTTCTTGGGAGAAATCCAGGGCAAACCGTGTTGCCACAGGCACTGGGATTTCTACTTCGGCAGAGTTTCACTAGTCTGTCTTAGAATCAAATCCAAGTGAATAGCAAGTATAGGGGGAAGGCCCTTACCTGTGGGGCTGATGATTAAATGACGCCCACCAGCGATGGCTGGTAATTTTCAGGCAATTCACTCGTAGTTCTAGGAAGGGGTGGGGGGGGGAGAGGAGGTGTCCGTGGATGTGGGATAGAAATCACGTGGTGACCTGATGTGTGCTCTGTCATTGTCCCCTGACAGTCTGAATCTCTGGGTCAGCACTGTCCAATGGAACTTTCTGTTAGCATAGGTTCTGAATCTACACGGTGCAGTAGTCACTAGCCCACATGGCTTCGAACCACTTGAAATATGGCTCCTGAAACGGCAGATCAATTGTTAGTTTTATTTAGCCTCACTTAATTTGAATGTGGCGATTGGCAGCTGTGTTGCACAGCGCAGGGTAGCTTTGCGCTTCCTGTCCGGCTCCTCCACTCATCGTGACCTGAGGAACCCAGAACTTTGTCTGGTTCTAGGAAAACTCAGGAATTCACACCTGCTCAGGGTTAGGCAGCAGGACTCTGGGGGTTTGGGTATGGACATTGGACTCCCCAAAACCTTGTCAAAAAAGTAGACCTAGTATCATTAGTTAATTAACTTGTTAAGCAACTAATTATTCATTAACCAACGTGAGTAGTTGATTGTAATTATTTATTGAGCACCTACAATGGGTTACAATGGGGATGCTAAACAATGGGGGATGCAGTAGTGAATAAAGCCAATAGGAATTCTTGCCCTAAGGGGGTGGGAGCAGGTCGATCTGGCAGGGAGGAGGGATATTGAACTGCAAATACAAATGGGTTGAAGCAGGTTATGGAAGAGGGCTCAGCTGGAGTCAGTAGGAAGGTGCCCATGTGAGGGTGATGTCAAATGGGGGCACAGCCCCCTTACTGTCTTCTGTTTAAACAGGGACATTGGCAGTCATGAGGTCACTGAGACTTAGTGACATAGTGGTTACTCATTGGGATGCCATTCATAAAGTCAGCAGTTCAAACTCACCAGCTCTTCCTTGGGAGACAGACCCAACTTTCTACTCCCCTAAAGAGATACAGTCTGGGAAACTCACAGGGGCGGTTCTACCCTGGCCTCTAGGGTCACTATGAGTTGGCATAGATCAATGACACTGAGTTTTTGTTGTTGCTGCTGTTATTTTCTCTTCTCATCAGCATTTCCTGGGCCTCTTTGGAACCTCTTCAGAGGCAGAGCTCTTCAACATGCTGAATCCTTGTACAGAGCAACCGGGGACTTCCGAGGGATAGAAATGAGGTGGGGAGAGGAGGTGAGGGCAGCCCATGACCATAGCCCCCAGGGGCCTCCAGCGGGGCAGAGGGGCAGCTCATCATGGAACAGGGTGTCAGAAAACAGGGCCCCAGCCAAGGCTGCAGCAGAGCTGACCCACCAGCACCAGCACCAGCACCAACTTCTTGGTTCCTTTGACTCCCCTGCTCTGGGCTTGGCCTTGGGTGCAAATGACACCTTGCTGGGTTATATACTCAGCTGGGCTATATACTCAGCCCAGAGGCCCCGGTGCAGCCAGACTCCTATGAGATGCACCCCCCACATTTTGGGGGTGGAGGATTCCCCTCAGGGCACTGTTCTCACTCATACTTGAGGATTACGTGGGAGCTTTTGAATCGGGGGATTTGGGAAAGGTACTGAGGCCCCAGCATCCATCTCCTGACCAATTCAATTAGAATCGGGAACAATGGCCAATGCAATTGTAGAAAATTCCCTGCAGTGCTCTGGGTGGAGGGGAAGGTTTACGGCCCACCTGGTTGCCCCTCACCATCTGGGGGCCCTCTGACTGGCTCCTATGGAGGCTGGGGTCATCTCATCACACACCCCTGTCCCACATTGAGGCCTGAGGCCTGGCGGCTCTCAGATCCGGAGGCTCCGTGGTCAGTGGTCCCACATGGAATGTGTGGGGAAGGTCTCTTCTTGTGACCCTTTCCCACGGCCAGAAAGGGGCCCCTGATAGCTTCCAGCTGTCCTGCTGCCAGCACGGCCTCCAGCACAGGCTGGACTGAAAACTGTGTTAGGAACGCTGTCAAGCAGGAAATAACCGCAGCATGGTCAGGGCAGGCGTGGAGGGGGCAGGCACAAGGGGGAGCTTCCCAAGGATGAGCAGCCTCCAGAGCATAATTGCCCTTAATGCAAAAGAGAATAGCGAGTGTTGAAAAAGCAAGGCCTTTCTCCTCAGTCCTGCAGCTAGGGGTGTGTGTGGGGGGGTGCTACCCTCCACCCTCCGCCTTGACACGGCCCAGGAGTGTGTGCTCTGAACTTGACGTCCACTTGACAGGGGCTTCATCGAGGCGCTCCTCTACTGGCCGATGCAGAAAAGCCAGGGGCGCACACATTTCACGTTTCGGAGAGTACGCATTTTTCTAGCATTATGGCCTCCTTGCATCTGCAGAAACAATGAGGAGGGATTTTTTTCCTTCCCTTTTTTTAGGGCCACACAGGAAGATGACTTACTCCCCCAGCTCTGATGCCCTCCCGGGGACATCTCTCCTGCCCACGTGGTTGTGTCGTTTCGGCACCTGCCTTCGCAGAGGTGCAAAGGAAACCGGCACAAGTGTGCGGGAGAGGGAATGAGAGACCGACAAATCTAGAAGGAGGATCTTCGTGTCCTCCCAGCACACACGCACATGCGAGAACAGCCCTTGCTTTCCTGTCTGACGTACTGGGCTCGCTCTTCAGTTTTCCTTTAAAAGGGTTCCCACCAGAGTTTCCTAAAATCCTAATGCCCACATCCCACCCCGGACCAATCAAATGGGAGCCTCGGATGTGGACACCCAGGGGTTGATGTGTTTTGCCAGCTCGCTGGGAGGCCCGGAGAGGGACAGACACCCTTGGCTGCTGTTCAAGTCCCCTCGGGAGAAACACCTGGTGATCTCCCCTGCAAGGCCCCGGGAAGCCCCGTGGAGCACAGTTCTACTCGGACATACCCCGGGCCGCCTCAAGTCAAGAGTTCACTCAAACGCAAATGGCTGCTGCCTTTCCTGCACAGCCCAGTCTGCGAAGTACGGTCTCCAAGGATGAGCCGGAACCGTGACAGTGAAGAGTGAGAAACCCAACACGCCCGGCCGGCGTGGTACCTGCTGGCAAGGCCCTCTGGGGACTCTAGAGGGACCCCACCAGCTGTCTCAGCAGGGTGCGTCCTTAGCATTTGAGGTTTCGCCTGTCATGGTTTTGACTCGAGGAAGAAGCCAAGGGCGAGCTACATCTGTCATTTATCATTTCTCCTAGCACTGTCCCTTTGACTCTCACCTGCCAGAGGCCGGCACTTGAGCTGGAGTCCCTGGGCCGCTCCCGAGGCCTCTCTGCAGGCCTCCTGCCCGGCTGCAGCTCCGCGGTGCTGGCCAGCCAGCTCCTCACAAGCCAAGTCGCACTCAGGAACCCTCAGGAAGTGATACAAAGCCCGATTCTCTTTGGGAACTGGTCCCAAATGCAGGCCAGCTGTTAACAAACAAAGAGGCTCCGGAGAGGGGCTGTGCTGAGCCGGGGAGCAGGAGCTTAGGGCTGATTACAGACGGCCTGACCCGGGGACTCTGAGTTGGGTCTCAATTCTGTGCAGGGCCCACGGGGGTGGGGTGGGGGAGTTGTACTTAAGGGAAGGCCTGGGAGGTTCCCCAGTGTGGGAAAATCCACAAAAGGGGGAAGTATTACCTCTAACCCCCACTTCCAACATTGACGCCTTTCACCAACCAGGAAATTCCAGGAACATGTATTTTATTTTGTTTTTTAAAAAAATGATCCCAATACTGCCACCTAATTCCTATTGTTAGCAATGTGGACTGGGCCATATTTCTTGAAAGATCTGGACGCCCACAGTGTAAGGCTTGGAGGCTTCTTCCTTGGCCAGTGTTGGTAAAGGAAGTCTGAGAGATGAGAGTGTGGACGCTGTGGGAGCCCAGAGTTTCAGGGACATCAGACTGTAAAACATACAGTAATACACAATCAAACAACCCTGCGTTCCACCTGAAAAACTCTCCCCATCATAGAAAAGAAGTGTGTGGGTGGATGAGCAGCTCAGTGTGTGTGTGTATGTGTGTGTGTGTGTGTGTGTATGTGTGTGTGTGTGTGTGAGAGAGAGAGAGAAAATGTCCAAATGAAATGGAATGGCGCTGGCTGCACCCCACGGCGAGGAGAATGACAGTCACAGAACAGTCACGCAGTTAAAAGAGCAACCGTTTGCTATATGTCTGCCCACAGTAAATAAAATAAGCACCCTCACTAGTGGAGCCATGTCTTCCCCAGCTGCCTGGTTCCCTGACCACCAGTAGGGAGCCAGGTGCACGGGCACCTGCAAGAGGGAAGACCATGGCCAGGGCCTGTGCTCCAAGCCCCTCCCTGATCTGATTTCTGCCAGACTCCAGAACCCAGTCTTTCCTTCTAGGGCTGCCTGCGGAAAGGACGCAGCCCCCTGCTCGACCGAGCCCTCTTCATAGAGGTCCACAGCCAATGCCAAAATGCTGCCCTTGTCTTCCGCAGGTACCGCGTGAACTTCAGACCCAGGTATGTCACTAAATACAAGACAGTGACACAATTGGCATGGAGATGCTGCCCCGGGTTTAGAGGGGGAGACTGCCAAGAAGGTCCCAGGAGTCCTGGGAAGACCCCCTATCCTACGCCTGCTCAGCCTCGAAACAGCATGAAGAAAGCTGCAGGTAACTAATTTATGTATAGCTTGTTAGGTAGGGATCATGGAACCTGGGTGGTACTGTGTGTAAAAAAACTGCAAGGTCAGTGGTTCAAACCTACCAGCTGCTCTTTTAGAGAAAGATGGGGCTGGCTGCTCTAGTAGTTTTACAGCTTCAAAACCCTATGTGGGGACGGTGTAAGTCAGAAGCAACTCGGAGGGGGGAGGTTTATGGCTGGACCTTGGAATTAGTCCCGGAGCCCCTGGGTGGTGCAAGCTCTTAGGCTCCTTATTCAGCTAGAGTTCATGGTTTTGCCAACCTGAACGCACCACGGAAGAAATGTCTGGAGATCGACTTTGAAAAATCAGCCCTGGAAAACTTTACAGAGCACAGATTGACTCGGCCGCATCTGGGCTTGCTGATAGGAATACAAGTGCTTAGCTGTGGACACCATTACTACTCCCAGGGCTCCTTCAAAAATAGGACTCCTGGTTCTCAGCATCGCGTTTCCCAAGGCCGTTGAGTAAACACATCTGCGCCTGCCAGAGACACATGTGGCAGGCACATTTCTTTGCCGGAGCAGTAGCAACTGGAGGCACACTCTTGTAAATAATTGCTTTGTTCGGCCGGCTTGGTGAGGAAGCCAATGACTTAGAAGTCAGCCCGGGAAACGCTTGTGGTTTCAGACTTGTGTGACCTGGCCACCCAGACGTTAGGCAACTCGAGTGTCATGATGACTTGTCTCCTTTCTCATCACTTTCATCTGAGTTTACGGGAGTTAAGATGGGCTTTTGAAAAGTAGGCCGCTTGGAATCATTCTCACTCTGTTCTGGATGGGATATTTGTAAAGTAAATCCCGCAGTGAGAGCATCCGTTCAGGTTGGTCTTAATTGTGTTTCTGAAACCTACTTTAAAAAAAAATCATTTTATTAGGGGCTCATACAACTCATCACAATCTGTACATACGTCATCTGTGTCCAGCACTTTAGTACATATGTTGACTTCATCATTTTCACAACACCTGCTTTCCACTTGAGCCCCTGGTGTCAGCTCATTTTCCCCCTCCCTCCCCACTCCCCCAACCCCCGATAATTTATAATTTATTATTATTTTATCATATCTTACCCCATCCCACGTCTCCCTCACCCACTTCTCCGCTGTCCGTCCCCCAGGGTGGAGGCCACATGTTGACCTTGTCCTCTGTTCTCCCTCTGAAACCTACTTTTGAAGTGAAGTAAGACCAACACAATGAGTAGCTAAGGAAGCAAGTAGAGTTCGTGCTTCGCACACATCTCTGCTTTTGAATGTAGCGTGGAACCCTGGTGGTGTCGTGGTTACACAGTGGGCTGCGATCTGCATGATCGGCAGTTGGAAACCACCAGCAGCTCCTTGGGAGAAAGACGGGGCCTTCCACTCCCACAAAGTTACAGTTTCAGAAACCCACAGGGGGCCGCTATGAGTCCGCATTGATTCGTGGGCGTGAGAGAATTGATCAAAAGCGTTACTTTTCCGAATCTGAGCATTTTAGCTTTCTGCTTTCATCACCTTTCTCTTCTCTTTTTAAACAGTCGCAGTAAATACAGCCTAGACGTGAAAAAAAAAGAAAGAAAGAAAATAGTTGTTTAATGGGTCTTTAAATGACTATAGTTCCCATGAGGCATTTTCTTCAATTTAGAAGTTGATAGTGTTTCCCAACCTAGTCTAGAAAATAGAATTCAGAATACTTTTCATAATTTAAAAGTCATGCCTATAATCTGAAATGTTTGTGAAATGTAGGAGAATTGGTTTTGCTTTTAAAAGACAAACCCAGACAAGGTATACAATAAATTGGATAAGTTCCGTTGGTTGGCGTTAGGTGTGGCCGCCACTTCCGATGCATCGTGAGCCCATGTGGAACGGAGTGAAACCCTCTCCGTCCTGCACCAGCCTCACCATGTTGTTAGGTGTGAACCCATTGTTGCAACCACTGTGTCTACCCACCTCACTGAGGGCCTTCTTGTTCACTGACCCCCTACTTTACCTGTTGGTAGGGATTGGTCTCTCGTGATCACATGTCCAACGTTCCTAAGACTAAGCCCCACCATCCTCACTGCTAAGGGGCACACTGGTTAGGCTTCTGTCCTACCCACTGCCATCAAGTTGAGTTCCATTGCTAACAACCCTATAGGACAGTGCAGAGCTGCCCCTTTGGGTTTCTGAGACTAACTCTTTACAGGGGTGGAAAGATTCATTTCTCTCCCTCCGAGGGACTGGTGGCATCAAACTGCTGACCTTGCAGTTAGCAGCCCAATAGGTAACCCACTACACCACCAGGGCTCCTCGGTGGGTGTGTTGACTCCTATTAGCTTATGAGAATCATTGGGGAAAGTGGGAGCCCAGGTGGCACACTGTTTACACACTGGGCTGCCAGCCACAGGTCAGCAGTGTGAACACACCAGTCGCGTTACAGGTAAAAGAAGAAGATTCTGGATCTCGTAGAGATTTACAGCTTTGGGACCCTTAGGGAACAGCTCTCCTCTTCCCGTTGGGATCCCTGAGTCAGATTGACTGGAAGGCACCGGGGGATTTCAATCAGTGGTGCTTTGCCACTAATCCAGTGTTGGAGGTCTGAACTCACCCAGTTGCGCCCAGGAAGCAATGCCTGATGCTCTGCTTCTGTAAACGTTTGCTGCTGTTACGTGCTGCTCGGTCAGTTGTGACCACAGCGACCGACCGTAAACACAGCAGGAAGAACCCCTGCCCGGTCTGCCCCGTCCTCACAGGGGCTCCGTGCCTGAGACTGTTGCCGCAGCCACTGTGTCAGTGCATCTCATAGAGGACCGTGCCTTTCTCTCTGCCCTCCACTTTACCAAGCAGGATGTCCTTCTCCAGGGACTGGTCTCCCCTGACAACATGTCCACAGTCGGTAAGTTAATGTCTCCTCATCCTCGCCACTCAGGAGCTCTCCGGCCGGGCTTCTTCCTAGATCCACTTGCCTGTCTTTTTGGCAGTCCCTGGTACTTTCAGCAGTCTTCCCCAGCTTCGCAATTCAAATGCCCCAATTCTTCTTCCGTCTTCCTTATTCAGTGCCCAGCGTTCCCAGGCACGTGAGGCCACGGAGAAGACCATGGCTTGCTTGGGTCAATTGAGGACCGTGGTCCTCAACGTGGCATCCTTGTAAAGGTTACTGCCAAGAAAATCCCAAGGGGCTCAGTCCCACTCTGTGCAGCCTGGCGTGGCCATGGGTTGGTGTTGATTTCCCAGCAATGAGTACTATTAAAAACCGCCATCCCCACAAGTACTTCTCATTTTTCACTCCCCAGAGGTAGTGACTTTAAACCTTTCAGATCTTTTGAAATTGACCTCCGTTTTGGAAGTTGAAGATTTTACTCTTTTATCTATTCCTCAACGTGCTGCTCCTAGACCCCACCCTTCCTACAGTTTACATCATACGCTTACTGATAGTATTCAGTGTGTACATGGTAAAAACAGTGCAGTTGATGTTTACAGCTGAGCTAGCCTCTGAATACTGTTCCTTTTCTACATAGCTTTCAACATTTTTTTTCTCCAGAGTTAATACTTACCTTACCTTTTCCTTCACTTTGGTTTCTGTGTGTTTGTGTTGCTATCGACCCAAACCCTCCTCAGGCAAATCTCCATGTATTGTCCTGTAGGCCAGACACACCAGGTTCATCTTCCTGGAGAAATCTCTTCCAGAACCTTCCCATAGGCCCGAGCTGAGCTGGCCAGGCCTCCTGCTTTGGTTCATGTCTGCCATCCTGGGATACAAGCTGGTCTTCTTTCTCCTATTGGATTCTGTTTCTGGTAACATTTCCACCAGCCTTCCCCCCCCCGCCCCCCCCCACACATTCTTTCTCAGTGTACTCTGGTGTTCTGGTAGATCTCATCTTCCAGCAGCTTAACTTCTTGAGAAGATGCCATGAAGGGAAGACATAAGCTTTTTTTTTTTCTCCTCTTCAATGGATTTTATAGGCTGGAAATCTTTTCAAAATTCTAGGTTGGAAATAACTTTTCCTTCAGGATTTTGAAAGCATGGTTCGGTTTTCTCCTAGCTGCCGAGCTGCCACTGGAAAAGTCCACAACCCTTCTGCCTCCTGACCCGTGTGTCGCCGGTTGTCTGCTTTCAGTCCTTCCTTTTAGTGGGATTTCGGGAGGCAGGGAAAGGAACTGCTTCTCCTCAACCCACTGTCATTATAAAGAACATACTGCTCCTAGAACTTGGGTTTGCACTTACGCATCTAGTAGGAAAGGTTTCATGACAATCTAGAATATCGTTTCATAAGGAGCCCTTGGTGCTTTCAATTAAGCATCGGTCTGCTAACCTTAGGGTTGGCAGTTCAAACCCACCAGCTTCACTGTGGGAGAAAGAGGAAGCTTATCTGCTCCCATAAAGATCACAGCCACAGAAACCCCACTGAGAGTCACGATGAGTCAGAGGAAGAGGAGGCGCTCTATCTTGGTGAAGAGTTGCAGTCTCAGAAACCCAAAGGGCAGTCCTGCAGGGTCACAGTTGGATTCAGAGAGTAGGATTGTCTGAACACGCTGTAGTTTAAGCAGTCCTGTGCTAATAGGCACTTGGGTTGTATACAATTTTTCACTATTCTAAATAATATTCTATTTTTTTTAATTTAATTTATTTATTTTTTAACATTTTATTAGGGGCTCATACAACTGTTATCCCAATCCATACACACATCAATTGTATAAAGCGCATTTGTACATCATTCTCAAAACATTTTCTCTCCACTTAAACCCCCGACATTAGGTCCTCATTTTTCCTCTCCCTCCCCACTCCCTCTCTAAATAATATTCTAATAAAGAGCTTTCTGATGATATTTGTCGCCTTCCTTCTTATCACTTACTGGAAGGAGCCCTGGTGTCACAGAGGGTTAGTCATTGGGCTGGTCGCCGTGGGGTCAGCAGTTTAAACCCAGCAGACACTTCGGTAGAAAAAGGCGAGGCTGTTTCAGTGCAGACGCACAGCCTCGGAAACCCACAGGGCAGTTCTGCTCTGTCCTACAGGGCAGCGAAGGGTCAGCATGGAATGCACTCGATGGCCGCGACTTTGGCTTTGTGAGTGGTTTATGAGAGAAGCATCGACCTCTGTGCCTGATTGCCCCCCCCCACCTTACTGCCCTTAGTTTTTTGTTTCCCTTTGTCCAGAACAATGTGCTGTGTGTACATGACCCAGCATTTGTTTTCTTCGTCTAGCTTCTTGAGCTGGAACAACTTTTCAGGAGGCAAATGGGATGTTATTTCTAGTTCTCTGGAGGGAAAGGATGGCATTGGGGGTCTAGACCTCTGAATTTCAGCTTGGATTTTACCACTAAGTTGACATTAGCCGTGGTTATGATCTTGTGCAACAGTTTAGAGGAGGAATGAATATTTGACACAAATGCTGGTGGTGTTCTAAATTTGCATCTAGTACTTGCCATCACGCAGTTGTGGATTTCAGTTCATTCTGATCAGGTTTGTGTTGGTCTTTTCCACTTTACACGATTCATCTCCGTATAGTCTTCAGACCAGTCAACCTTGACCCCTTGTCTGTACTCTTATATTCCTCTAAGTGCATGGTTTGCTGGTTAGTCCCCTAATGCTGTAGATTTTGGTAGCTTCCTTTTTGTTTCTGTATTTCTATATCTATCCATTTATTTTCATTTATTATTATCATTTTATAACATATTTTCTTTTCTTTGAGACTGCTTTCTTGGGGGCATATTTCTCAAAGTAGTGTTATAAAAAAAAGTGACTGTGTTCTCTATCCATATTCATGTACACGTGCCATATGTAAGGATGTATATGGATATGGTCAGGGCGATACTCGTAAAGCCAGTGGCTTTATCTCCCCTTTGCTTTAGTTTCCCCATCTACATAAGAAGGCTAAACAATGGCGGTGGCTTTTTAAAGCCTAGAGAAGCTCATAGAAGCTACCAATAACATCCAGGAATTGCTTCAAGGATAGCTTGGTGCTCATATGATATCGTGTCATCCAACAATTAATGGGTGGACCCTGCTAACGTGGCATCTTGTGGTTTTGCAGTGTTCAGTCAACCAGTGGGGTGTGACTGCATTTCACCAGTGTGGGAAGCGTTGCATACACAGGACAAAGCAGATAAAGAATGTTTCCTTTTAGGGAGAAAGGAACCGTTGAGTATCTACTATGTGTTCTGTAAGTCTCTTAGTAACCCTAAGAGGGAAGTTAGACTTCCATTTTACATATGAGGGAATTAGAGTTCACAGAGTTAATGAACTTGCTCAAGAGTAGACAATAAACAGAGCTGGAATGAAAGTGGAGGTCTATTTGACTCCAAATCCCACACGGTTTTCCACTTGAACACAACCATTGTCGACCATTAGGTGATAGGAGCACTAATGAAGAGTAGTCTGTACCTCGTTTATTGTCTTTGCAGAAACTATCTAAAGGAAGAGAGTGTTAAGTTATGTCCAATTCTTTCTTTACAACAGATAATGAACCAAAGCAAACCCCAGGGCCCAAGAGGACTTTGTCACCAGCTCATGCAGCAGAACCTGGTGGGGCAGTAGATCCGAAACAAGGACCTCAGGAACTTCAGGAGAAGAAAATCCAGGCGCTTGAGGAGAAGGTCCTCCGCCTCACCAGGACGGTTCTTGACCTTCAGTCTTCTCTTGCTGGAGTCAACGAAAACCTCAAACACGCCGCCCAAGACGATGCCAGTAAACCGCTGGCTCCGTGGCTCAGCACCTTGCATCCACAGCCGGCACCGGATGGTACCGTTGATGGAGACCCAGAAACGGGTCAGCTTCCTGACAACGACAACAACAAGGAGTCTGGCGTGAAGGCCATCCAGTCCGAATTGGCCGAAGTCAAAGATGTCCTGAAGACCAAGAGCGACAAGCTGGAAGAGCTGGATGGGAAAGTGAAGGGCTATGAAGGGCAGCTCAAACAGCTCCAAGAGGCTGCTCAAGGCCCGACAGTGACCATGACGACCAACGAGCTCTACCAAGCCTATGTGGACAGTAAGATGGACGCCCTGAGGGAGGAGCTCATGGAGGGCATGGACAGAAAGCTGGCCGACTTGAAGAACACGTGTGAGTACAAGCTGGTTGGTCTCCAGCAGCAGTGTGATGACTACGGGAGCAGCTACCTGGGTGTTCTAGAGCTTATCGCCGAGAAGGAAACAAACTTGAGAAAAGAAATAAATGAACTCCGAGCTCAGCTACCGGACCCTTCAGTCCAGTCCAGTCGAGAAAAGAACGAGGACTTTGGTCAACAGATCCAGACACTGAATCAGAAAATTGAGAGCGTTGCGGAAGCCACCAGAATGCTGAACGGGCGACTGGACAACGAGTTTGATCACCTAATGGTGCCCGAACCAGAGGTGGACTTTGATGCAAGATGGACCGAGCTAGATGCAAGGATCAATGTGACAGAGAAGAATGCGGAAGAACATTGCTTTTACATTGAGGAAACCCTTCGGGGCACCATTAATGGAGAAGTAGATGAGCTGAAACAACTTCTTGACCAGAAAATACAGTCCCTGGAAGACCGGCTGGGTAGTGTCCTCCTGGACATTGCCAATACCACGGATTCAGAATTCACCCCCTTGGGCTCAGCCCTCCCAGGTGTGCTGGGCTCAGGGAATGAACAGGTGATGATGGAGTTAGGGCGCTTGAAGGACAAAGTTCAAGTTGTTGAGGATATTTGCCTGCAGAGCTTCCAAGGGGAACCTCGCGGGATAGAAGATACTTTACCAGAGGGGGAAGGTGACCCAAGGGGTGACAATTCCAGGCTCTTGAAATCTTTCAATGACACACTGCACAGGAAGTTCCAGGAAACCGAACGCAGCATCCAGAAGCTGCAACAGGATTTTCGTTTCCTTTTTTCTCAACTCAACCACACACAAGATGATGTGAATCTTCTTCAGAGAGAGATGAGCAGTTGTAGAGAAGGGAAACGCTCCGAAAGGGGTGGCTTCACGCAGGGGCCAGAGCCAAAGAGGACAGGTGAGATTCTCCCGGCTCTACAGGACCCGACGGCGCCTTGCTGCAGCCACCTGGCCGAGAGGCTGCAGGGTCTGCAGCGCCAGGTCCTTGCCGGCCTGGATGCTTGTAAAGAACACACTCGGGGGGTCCAGACGGACGTCTCCACGATTGAGGGCCGGCTGTCTCAGGTGGAGAAAACGTGTAACAAGCTGGACTCGATCTCGGGAAGTCTTCACAGGATCAAGGAGGGGCTCAGCAGACACGTCAGTAGCCTGTGGAGCTGCGTGAGGCAGGTGAATGGCACCCTCCGGGCACATTCCAGAGACATTTCTGGCCTGAAGCATTCCGTCCAGCAGTTCTACAGCCACGTTTTCCAGATTTCCACTGACCTGCAAGATCTGGTCAAATTCCAACCATCTGCAAGTAAGTAGACCTTCCCCGTTCCATTTCTTGTATTTGTTTCCGGCACGTGAGCACATCCGGCCAGGTTTTGGGTGGTTTGTGGAATTCACTAAACTGAGGGGTATCTAAGGTGTGGTCCATGGATCGTGCCAGTTTGGGAATAGTTGCTGGGTAGCAAAGAGACCAATATTGACACAGAAAGTGAACATTTAGAAACTTTTAAAATAAGTTGTGAGCCCTTGGGTGTGCAAATAGTTAATCTGCTCAGCTGTTAAGGTTCTGGCTCAAGTCCACCCAAAGGTGCTCAGAAGCAAGTCCTTGTGACTTTCTTTCTAAGCCATCAGCCATTACAACCCCCTGGGGTCTCTGGGAGTTGGGCTCCGCGTCAGCTGCTTTTACAAGAGTGTATGTCCGTGAGCGTCCGGGCAAATGCTCTGTGTGTTCTGCATGTCTGTGAACATCTGGGCACATGCTCTGTGTGTTCTACTGCTTTTACAAGACTGTATATCCGTGAGTGTCCGGGCACATGCTCTGTGTGTGTTCTACTGCTTTTACAAGACTGTATATCCG